TCAACCATGAAGACATCAGTAACACCTTCCAGACGGCACATACTTCGGTACATATCTTTATTTCTATCGATGTTAAAAAAAAATGAAAAACAGTATAAAATCATGAAAAAATATTCTCTATTTATAGTAGTTTTTTAAAATTAAAATTGTATATATTAAATACATTATTGTTTACCGTAGATGTATTTCAGATGGTAATTGGAGTGTAATTTGGCAATACTAAAAATACAAAGTGCAGAACTGCAAGTAACTGTAATCCAATTTGAGACAATTAAAAATCTTATTAATACTATTAAAATATCAAGATTTGTACACAAGTAAAATATTTTGATGGAAATTGAAAAAAAAAACCGCTTAACTTTGGCTATATTTTAACAAATCCGAAATCCAAAGGCAATTTTAATTTATTTTTAGCTTTGATGCAAAGCGAAGAAGGTATTGGTTTTTCTATGATGTGGACTTTTTTGTGTCTGTATACACTGTAACTTTTTAATACTAGAACAATTCCTTCGAGTAGTACCTCTATAAATCACAAATTTCATCTAGTTGTTACTTTAGGGGGGGTTAAAGTTGAAAAAGTTTACTTCTTCACGGTTAAATGAGTTTTGAAGTTAGAACTTAATAAGTTAGATCTATACCCTCAAGTACTAAAATAAATATATTTAAGCGGAATACTAATGTGTGTGTGTGTAAAAACTAATTTTATATTATATATTTAGATTTATGTTATTTTTAAAACACCCTTTTGTTGTATCGGTATTGCCACGATTTCCATATTTATCTTCTTGTACTAATGAGGAGACATCTTTCATTCCAAAAATTGCAAATGGGCATCGAAAAGAAATCCTTGAACACAGTCGTTGTCGGATAGGTCAAGAAGGGAAATAAAGCTTTCATCGACCCAATCGCGCCCTTTATAAGAAAACAAATCGACGACCAAAGAAATTAATTCTAAAATTGGGTACTAAAATAAGGAAATGAAAGGTATGTTTACTTTTTTCAACGTTATTTCATTTCATCGTTCAAACGTACCTCTAAATAATAATTTTTTTCCAACATAATATATACTATTGACAAAAAATGTCACTCAGTTAAAAAATTTTTTAGGAAATTAATTAGGACCCAGAAGTTTGTCAATTTGCATGTTTTTACTGGATGGCTAAAAAAAAGCTATATGAAAAATTTGAATTACAATTTAAAGAATCCAAACCCAATAGTTTGTTTTAGTATAATATGTTGGGTTTTTTTATACTAACACATATTTTTTAATAAATATTTTTTTTTTCCTTAAGTACCAATAGATGAAATAATAAACATATAACCAATTTTTTTTTTTTTAGAAGAATAGAAAATTATTGTGTAACATAAATTAATATTATCAGATGAAAAACCAAAAAAAAATTGTATATTATAATTATTTTGACATAGACTTTTTGGTTATGACTAGTCTTTAACTTTATGTGATAAAAAACTTACTAAATTTTGAAGTTTTACTTAAAAATAATATTTAAAAATATAATGAACAAATATTTTAAATGCATAGTGTACAGAGTATTGTATACTTCCTAGCCCTAATATATAACTATACAATAACAATAGTAATTATATACAAACCGATTTTCAGATAATTGTTTCATTCAAAACGGTCAATATTAAAAAATGCCATGACTTATGACTACTAATGTAATATATTATGTAGTTCAATAAAAAAATAGAATAAAATTTCATATGTAGCAAATAAATATTTCAGTACATACAAACATTCTCTGTTTATTGTTTTTTTTTTTAAATATATGCGTAATCTGATATGTTCTAATAAGGAAATATTCAACGACCATTTAAAATCTACCCTAAACATAACAATATCAAAGAAAAAGTACCTAACTTACAAATCGTCGTTTGATGTGAACACAATAGTATCACATGACCGCAAACGAGTATGACTTGATCGGACTCAATTTGTGTTACAAAAAACAACAAAATTATAGAGCGCCATAATTTTAAATTGTGAAAAGATGATTTGCTATTGTTCTTTTACAGGTCCAATTATTTAAATTACTAAAAAAATGTATACAAGTAAAACTGCAGTAGGCATAGTTTATTTTATCTAAAATTTAAAACATAAACAAAAATTGTGGGACGTTTATTTTTATTACATGTCTATTGGATAGGACACAACTGTGGAAAAACATATGTTGGACACACTTTAAAGAGTGTATCTAAATTATTCATCGTTAAACTTTTTTTTTGCTATAAGCATTTCGGTCTAAAGGAAAAAAAACTAATTTCAACTTAGACCATTTTTTTTTTTGGTAAAACTATCGGTTATTAAATTTATTTCTAACAAAAGAATAATATGAATTTTAATGCTAAAATTTTTTTTTTCTAACAGACAAATTTACTCGATAGGAACAATGCAAATTACAATGGCGACTAAAGACTACAAAAAAATAAATATACTTTTTTTTTGTCAGCGAAAAAGTAATAAAAAGGATCTAATAATTACACGAAACTGCAATGCAAAAAAACACTTGTGCCACAACTTATAAATTTAATTGCTATTATATAATTGTTCCTCACACTGTGCATTTCCATATTATGTTTTATATATTAACCCAGCTCTTTCTTGAACACAGTACTTAAACACTTTTTACCGGCAAATACTTGAAAATAAAACCGACAAAATGTTGAGCTTTTATTTAATATTTTCGGTATGTCTGGCAACAAACATAGTGTAAGTGTATCGAATAATCTGTTATAAAAATATAATGAACCCATTTTTGTTTCAATTTAAAGCTGCGATTAATTTGATTGAACGAAAATTAACCTTTTTTCTTTTTCAGAAATGCCGACAAAGCTGCACTGGGAAATGGTAATAACTTTTATATATATATTTAATGATTAAAAAAAATCTAGTTATAAATATAAATAAAATGAATTTATTTAAATCAATTTAGTTGCTACCGTTACACATAATACACTTACCTATATGTATACAATTTTCTCCATAATTTTAGACGGTATACGTAACAATAAATTGAACGCTAAAAAGGTGGGTGAAAATACAGTAATTGACAATATATCAATTCACTCGTCAAGTGAGGAAAGTAAAGAACGCGGTGTAAAGCCAAATAAACCTAACAACAAACGCGGTACAGGAAATACTAAGATGATACCGCAAGAAAATAATCTTAATGGAAAATTCGGAATTCAGAGTATGTGGACATTATTATAAAAAAAAAAAGCTCAGTTAGTTGTAAAAATTGATTTTAGCATAAATATTTTATTTAGGCTGGTAAACACAATTTTTTTTAAACGGACAAAATTCACAAATTATTCGTTTTATATGAACATTAATTACTAGCACTTATATATTATTTTAGGATATCCACAACCAAACGGGACGCTATATTAAATTCTATTGTTGTATTCAATTTTATCCTAGTAAAACATGGTCATAAGGTAATTGTAATTTTCTAGATAACCAGTATAATCCAAGTCAGCAAAATAACCAAGACGTTAGAAACCAAGAAAACACTAAACGTCCGTATGGAAACCAGCCAATCAGACCAAATCAAATACAATCAAAACCAGCGTCATTTAATGACTGGCGCAATCGCAGTGAGTCAAATTGTGAACTATAATCGTTTTAGGCTTTTCGTTTAGTTTCTTTCGTGATCTATTAATCTTGATCGACGGACCGCCTTCGTCGCTCCTTATAGCACCATTAATCAATTAATCTATTAGGAAATCAGAACCTGAACGTAGACTCGAGCGATGATGGACTCATGGTCAACGGTAAAAAAGTGACAAAAATGCCAGGCAAAAGAGTTAAATATAACGGCGATAATGGATTGCCCTCGTCCCAGTCTAACGCTTCCAAATCGATGACGTTTAATAACAGTAACAATACAGGTAGGTCTAATATTTGACCTTGGGGTCGAATTACCACATATTATTAACTAACAAGTTTCATACATTTTCAGGTTATGCAACTTATAACCAAGGTGGTGTTAGCATTAACTTTATAAATGGTGCAATGTTGATCAACGGTAAAAAAGTCCCAGGACTTAAAGCAAACGAAGAAGCAGTGATCGAATACGGTAAAGGTCTACTTAAGGTCAACGGAGTAAGACAAGCAATGTTCGACGGAATACAAGGAAGCGGAAGAATGATAGTTTTAGGAGATAATTTTTCACACACAGTTTACGACGAAGACGAAGATAGTCGGATTGGCCAAGGCTTTACAAACTTAGGTAATTGAAAACAAAATTGTGGTTTTTTAAAGGTATTAAAAAAATGCTAGCATAGGCCGAGTATCTACTATCCAGCCACATTTTAATTGAATATGTGTTATTGGGCTGGACAAAAGAAATATAATGTCACCATTTTCACGTTACACTTTTGCTTTGATATAAGAGATAAGTGATAGGAGATACATGATAAGATATAAATGATAAGGTATAAATGATAATATATAAATTATAAGTTATAAATTATAAGAGATTAGAGATTTTTTTTCCACGTGGGTTAGGATTGATTAAAAATAATAGAACACATTAAACAAAAAATTGTTTATAAAATGTGTGCAACTACTGAAACTAATATCAGCCTTTACAATTTGTACTTTAGGTAATAATTCAAGAAACAAACCCAATTATCAAAACAACAATTTTATGACAAATGTGGGAAATAATAATATGGGGAATATTAATTCTGGAAATATTTACCGAACCAACTTTAATGGCAGAAAACGTCCATGGAATGCTGGACTCAATAATATGGGGAATATTAATACTGGAAATAATATATCTCATATTGGAGGTGCATCATTCGGAAACAACTATAATGGCAGAAAACGTCCAACAGGAATGGGGAATGTAGCTATGGGTAACGGTGGAATGATAGTCGGCGGTGCAAATGGCGTACAAATGGGTAACGGTGGAATGATAGTCGGCGGTCCAAATGGCGTACGAATGGGTAACGGTGGAATGATAGTTGGCGGTGCAAATGGCGTACGAATGGGTAGCGGTGGAATGAAAGTCGGCGGTGCAAATGGAGTACAAATGGGTAACGGCGGAATGAACGTCGGCGGACCAAATGGCGTACAAATGGGTAACGGCAGAATGAAAATCGGCGGACCATATGGTATAGAAATGGGTCCGAACGGAATAACGGTTGGCAATTAATACGTTAATTGGTGTAATCAGAATATTAAGTTAAGAAGAAATTGTATTAAGAATTCGAAATAAGCAAAAAACAACCTCAATAGTTAACAAGTTAAATAATATTACAACGGCTATTTGTAGTTTTGAAACAGTAAAAAGTATATTTGATTCTTTAAGCTTTTATTATTGTATAAATATCCCAGTGACATAGCTATAACCTTAACCAAATAAGCAACAAACTAAGAAAAGCTATTCAAAAACATAAAAACGGCTCTTATAATTCTTACAAAGTTAAAGCACTAACTACCAAAAATGTATCTTTATGGAAAGCAACAAAATCCCTTCTTGGACACAAAAATCCTTCTCCTCCGTTATGCAAAGCGGATAACTTTTGGGCTATCACCGACTCTAAAAAATCTAACATTTTCGGTAATCACCTCTCTAACTCTTTTTTACAAAAACCTACATAAAGACCTAAACGTACCAACACTCAACCAGTTATCAAATTCTCTATACTCATATTTCCATTTAATTCAAGTTTCCACTCTAATCCTCTAATGAAACAACTATCCTAGATCTCCCTTCCTGAAAACGCTACCAGAAGACTTAAAAGTAGATGGCCCAGAGACCTTCTAAAATAACTTCCTATTAAATTAATTAATTCCTGGATGGGTGATACTGGTGAGTGTCTTTCCTTAACGATAATAATTGCTTAATGTTATGTGTACAACGTTCACCACATTTACTTATTGTACTCACTGTAAATATTATTTTTGATAATAATAAAAAAAAAAGTTTTCATGATAAAATATGATCTACAATTGTTATATATTTTATATAGTTGCAAAATATTTTAAAACGTTTTTAATTTGTTAAATTTTTATTAGTTAACGATTATAATACCGACATCATTACAAGCTATAACATTTAATACATCACCATAAAATTATTGTAGTGTGTTTAATCATATTATGAACGCAAATGAGAAGGGTACATCACAGGTTCTTGGTTAATATATTTTGTATTACTAAAAACAAAAAAAACAAAACGTAAACTGAACTTTTTATATTTGTTTGAAATTTATTAGTAATGAAAACAGTGAACAATGTTGATACCTATTCAAATGACTTGTAAAAGAAATATGGTTTTATGGTTTTGATATCTATTTTGTTGCATCCGTTATCTACAACTGATAAATCAAAATACAATATTCTAATTTCTAACTACTAACTGCTATACTATTGGTAATAATTTTTTATAACATTTTTGTCAAAGACGTTTTATTTGAATACTTATCAATATATTTTATATGTTCTCCTGAAGAAGGTTATGTAAAATCGCGCTGATCCAAAAGTGCAAGCCTTAATAAAAATTTAAATGAAAAAAAAAAAGTTTAACTTTGTCTAGTATCAAAAATGATAAAACTGTAAAGCCTAGTACATGGTGTGAAGCTAAAATGGTTACTACCTAAGTTAAATAACTTACACTCTGCTTTAATGGCTGTTTTTGGGATGAAATAGTTGAAAAAATACTATATGACATGTCAGAAATTACAATCAATTGGCATTGATTCATAAACGGTCATTGCTTATACAAATTACTAATTCAATATGTGCCTTTGTAAGTGTAATGTTATCATAACGACATCGCTTATCATAACGAAAAATAACAGATGATTTATCTGTTTAGATAAGAGAGTTAAGAGATAAGGGAAAGCGATAATAGATATGATTTTTATTTTGAACACAACCGGAAAAAATCGATACCGACACCGGTTATCATAACGAAAAATAAAGGCTGATTTATGTGATAAGAGAGATAAGAGATAACGGAAGGATATAGGGGGTGAGAGATAGGGGGTAAGAGATGTGGGATGGGGTGGAAATGGGGTCGGGGCTGGGGGTGGTTTAAGGATGTGGGTGGGAATGAGGTTGGGGAGGGGATGTAAAATTGTTTAAATTATGTGTTGTTTTCACAACGAACAAACTTAAATGAATGGTTAATGAATTACTAGGCACGTGAATGTTTTGCCAATAAACTGATTAAAGACAATTATTAAAAAACTTTTGGCCACAACATAAAATAAATCATCACCTACCATTCGAGTACCGTGGTTACCATTGTCACAAACCAAATGTTTATTTTGGGTTAGCAACGAAAAATAATTCGAATGGTATCAAGGCATTGGAATCGATGCAGAAAAAAAGAAACGGACGGTGCTCCGCAGAACGAGACATAAGAATGTATCCCTTGGTATTGGGTACGCAAGCTGTTAAAATATAATATGTAATACCTTTCATAGAAAAAAATCCCAACGTTATTTCATTTCATCGTTTAAACGTACCTCCGAATGTTAAGTTTTTTCCAACATATATTATACTATTAACAAAATATGTCACACAGTTAAAAAATATTTAAGGAAATTAATTAGGAACCAGAAGTTTGTGAACTTGCATGTTTTTACTGGATGGTTAAAGAAACTTAATAAAAAATTTGAATTCAATAAATCCAAACTCAATAGTTTGTTTCAGCATAATGTGATGGTTTTTTTTTATACTAATGCATATTTTTAAATATATATATTTTTTTCTGAAAGTACCAATAAATGAAATAACGAATATATAACCAATTTTTTTTTTTTTTAGAAGAATAGAGAATTTTTGTATAACATAAATTCATATTATCAGATGAAAAACCAAAAAAAATTGTATACTAATTTTGTTTTATAGGTAATTTTTTTAAGAAATTTTTATTTTATTATTTACAATTAAATAAAAAAAAAAAAAATATTGTATATTATAATTATTTTGGCATAGACTTTTTGGTTATGACTAGTCTTTAACTTTATGAGATTAAAAAGTAACTAAGTCTTGAAGTTTTTCTTCAAAACAATATTTAAAAATATTATGAACAAATATTTTAAATGCATAGTGTACAGAGTATAATATACTTCCTAGCCCTAATATTGAACTGTACTAACTATACAATAACAATAATAATTATATACTAACCGATTTTCAGATAATCATTTCATCCAAATCGGTCAATATTGAAAAATGCCATGACTCATGATTACTAATATTATATATTATCTAGTTCAATAAGAAAAAAGAATAAAATTTTATATGTTGCAAATCAATATTTCAGTACATGCAAACATTCTCTGTTTATTGTTTTTTTTAAATATATACCTTACCTTTTATGTTCAAATAAGAAATATTCAACGACCATTTAGAATCTACCCTAAACATAACAATATCAAAGAAAAGGCAACTTACAATAATGGTATATTTGCTATTTTTTTTTTAAATTAAGCGAAAGCAGTTCTAAATACTGAGCCAATTTTTTACTCCTTAACAAATGGACCGAGTGGTGTCCTTGTTAAGTAGACCATCCTGTATCGAACATAGTACAGACTAAACGTGACAGCATCAGGTCACGACACGACACGTGCCATACAAGTCATTATAATAGGATCTCATAATTTGGTTAAACACCATCCAGTTTAGTAAAACAGACATGATAAATAAATCATGTCCAGTTTAGTATATTATTGTTATTGTTATTAATATTTAAACGTCGTTTGATGTGAACACAATAGTATCACATGATTGCAAACGAGTATGACTTGATCGGCCCCAATTTATGTTACAAAAAACCACAAAATTATAGAGCGCCATAATTTTAAGTTGTGAAAAGGTGATTTGCTATTGTTCTTTTACTGGTCTAGTTATTTAAATTACTAGAAAAGTGTATACAAATAAAACTGCAATAGGTATAGTTTATTTTATCTAAAATTTAAAACATGAACAATAAATTGCGGAACGTTTCTTTTTAATACATGTCTATTGGATAGGACACAACTGTAGAAAAACATATGTTGGACACACTTTAAAGAGTGTAGCTAAATTATTCCTCGTGAAACATTTTTTTTGCTAAAAGCATTTCGGTCTAAAAGAAAAAAAAAAAATTTCAACTTAGACCATTTTTTTTTTTTTTTTTGTAAAACTATCGGTTATTAAATTTATTTTTAACAAAAGAATAATATGAATTTTAATGCTAAAATTTTTTTTTTGCCAACAGACAAATTTACTCGATAGGAACAATGCAAATTACAATGGCGACTAAAGACTACAAAAAAAATAAATATACCTTTTTTTTTTGTCAGCGAAAAAGTAATAAAAAGGATCTAATAATTACACGAAACTGCAATGCAAAAAAACACTTGTGCCACAACTTATAAATTTAATTGCTATTATATAATTGTTCCTCACACTGTGCATTTCCATATTATGTTTTATATATTAACCCAGCTCTTTCTTGAACACAGTACTTAAACACTTTTAACCGGCAAATACTTGAAAATAACCGACAAAATGTTGAGCTTTTATTTAATATTTTCGGTATGTCTGGCAACAAACATAGTGTAAGTGTATCGAATAATCTGTTATAAAAATATAATGAACCCATTTTTGTTTCAATTTAAAGCTGCGATTAATTTGATTGAACGAAAATTAACCTCTTTTCTTTTTCAGAAATGCCGACAAAGCTGCACTGGGAAATGGTAATAACTTTTATATATATATTTAATGATTAAAAAAAATCTAGTTATAAATATAAATAAAATGAATTTATTTAAATCAATTTAGTGGCTACCGTTACACATAATACACTTACCTATATGTATACAATTTTCTCCATAATTTTAGACGGTATACGTAACAATAAATTGAACGCTAAAAAGGTGGGTGAAAATACAGTAATTGACAATATATCAATTCACTCGTCAAGTGAGGAAAGTAAAGAACGCGGTGTAAAGCCAAATAAACCTAACAACAAACGCGGTACAGGAAATACTAAGATGATACCGCAAGAAAATAATCTTAATGGAAAATTCGGAATTCAGAGTATGTGGACATTATTATAAAAAAAAAGCTCAGTTAGTTGTAAAAATTGATTTTAACATAAATGTTTTATTTAGGCTGGTAAACACAATTTTTTTAAACGAACCAAATTCACAAATTATTCGTTTTATATGAACATTAACTACTCTCACCTATATATTATTTTAGGATATCCACAACCATACGGGATGCTATAATAAATTCTATTGTTGTATTCAATTTTATCCAAGTAAAACATGGTCATAGGTATTTGTAATTTTCTAGATAACCAGTATAATCCAAGTCAGCAAAATAACCAAGACGTTAGAAACCAAGAAAACACTAAACGTCCGTATGGAAACCAGCCAATCAGACCAAATCAAATACAAACAAAACCAGCGTCATTTAATGACTGGCGCAATAGCAGTGAGTCAAATTGTGAACCATAATCGTTTTAGGCTTTTCGTTTGGTTTCTTTCGTGATCTATTAATCTTGATCGACGGACCGCCTTCGTCGCTCCTTATAGCACCATTAATCAATTAATCTATTAGGAAATCAGAACCTGAACGTAGACTCGAGCGATGGTGGACTCATGGTCAACGGTAAAAAAGTGACAAGAATGCCGGGCAAAAGAGTTAAATATAACGGTGATAATGGATTGCCCTCGTCCCAGTCTAACGCTCCTAAATCGATGACTTTAATAACAGTAACAATACAGGTAGGTCTAATATTTAGCCTTGGGGTCGAACGTTCACATATTATTAACTAACAAGTTTCATACATTTTCAGGTTATGCAACTTATAACCAAGGTGGTGTTAACATTAACTTTATAAATGGTGCAATGTTGATCAACGGCAAAAAAGTCCCAGGACTTAAAGCAAACGAAGAAGCAGTGATCGAATACGGTAAAGGTCTACTTAAGGTCAACGGAGTAAGACAAGCAATGTTCGACGGAATACAAGGAAGCGGAAGAATGATAGTTTTAGGAGATAATTTTTCACACACAGTTTACGACGAAGGCGAAGATAGTCGGATTGGCCAAGGCTATACAAACTTAGGTAATTGAAAACAAAATTGTGGTTTTTTAAAGGTATTAAAAAAATGCTAGCATAGGCCGAGAATCTACTATCCAGCCACATTTTAATTGGTAATGTAATATTGGGCCGAATAGAAGAAATTTAATGTCACCAATTTCACGTTACACTTTTGCTTTGAGTTAAGTGATAAGAGATAAGATATAAATGATACGAGATAAGTAATAA